GTATCTTCCTTATGTAAAATATAAATTTTTCATAATTGCCTTTAAATTATTAGAAAAAATAAATAAGAGAAGAGAAATAATAGAAAAGAATTTTGGCTTTAAGGCGTGAAGAATACCTTTTTAAAAGCAATAATGTTTTTATAATACAATAAATCCTCAAACTCTCCAATTAGAAGTAATGAAAATAGTTATACTAAAAGATTTATTTATAATGAATAAACAAACATAAATTTTTATTTAAATGATTATGACTTTTTGTATAATCATAACCTTTATAAATGATAATCTATTTATATTCAAATAATTATGATTATTTGTCTTATGATAATTATTTTTGTTCAAACATAATTATTTAAATATGAATAAAATTAATACAAAAATTAACTTTACTTATTAATAATTAAAATTTTTTATCTAATGTGAAATGCACCACATTTTAAACTACCAACAGTAAGTACATCATAAAGCCGAGGCTTGCTATGCACGCTAAGACTCTACACTATTAAGTGTCACCCATCACTAACACTTCAAGTCGACATACTATCTGGATTGCTCTATTATCAAGAAAACTCTCTTAAACAGCCTTTGATTCAACCCATATTGAACCTTCAAGCACTGAAGCCGCCACACTTTTCTCCTATTTGAAACTGAAAAAACTCTCCTACTACAAAGTGTCGGAACAGGTTTTAATTTAATTCAAAAGAAGAGGCTAGTGGGGAGACACATAGGAGGGCCTGTCGTGGCCTCATTGGCCCCAGGCTTCTAGGAGATAGAAGAAAAGAGCTTAGTAGTTGGTATTGGAGATTCTTTGGATTTGAAATTCTTAAAAATACGCATAGTTTGTAGTTGAAAGAAAAGAGTAAAGCATTGAAGTTGAAGAAGTGGGATTTTGCTCAGTGTTGAAAAAAATATTGATATGGCAATATGGGAATAACGTGGCTTAAAGTACCCCCACACAGAGAAATAAGTTTAAAACAACACCTATTCAAAAATAAAGATTTTAAAGAAATCCATTGTCAGAAAAAACTCTATGATCTTGAACCACGTAATGCAAGACAACTTAATATTTTTAAAATGAAAGCTTTAGTGGTTCAGATATCGTTTTGAAGACTAATTAACTTAATTATCAATGACTTAAAGGTAATTAATCAAAATCTTTGTTTGCGAAAAGTTGGCGAAATATTGTCATCAAATCAAGTGCAATCTACATTAATTGTTTCTTCCTTTTGGGTTTTTTTATCCCTCCATCCTTGTGAAAATGTGACTTCATCTCAATCAATGACTGCATATCCAACACATAGGATATGCTAGTTGGGGTGGCTATGATCAAGTCAAGCTAGCCAACATCAACAGTATTTAAAAAAATGTCATTAATCACTTAATTATAATTATATTTTAAAAATAATCATTAAATTATTAAAAATTTAATTTAATAATAAAAATTTCAATAAATATTTTTTTATCATTCAGTTGTTAGTTCTGGTGTGTTGACATGACAATCCACATCAACTATTAAGTGTCGTATGACACTGTCACATTATTTGATATACAATGTGATACCACTGACGCAATATCATAAATTTTGAAAAAGAAATAAAATTTGAAAATTAAAAAATAAAGATAAATTTCACTTCAATCACTTAATTTTTTAAGAATTTCTATTTTGGTTACTCAATTTTGAAACTTTACAATTTAATAACTAACAGATAAGTTCTCAAATTTGATAAAAAATACATATAAGCATTTGATAGTTTTATTGCACCAAATTAAATTATAAAATTTTTATTTTATTTTAATTATACCATTTAAATTTGAAAACTGAATGAATATTATCCACTTGCAAAAATTATTAAAATAGCTTTACTTCAAAATTTTGTTATTGATCCTTCCTAACTAAATTCAAGTATTTGATATTTCATAATGTCAGAGCTCTAATTATAATGAAAATACATAATTTTAATTTCATACAATGAAAAATTAAAAGAAATATAGATAAAATAATTTATTATATTAAATTTTACAAACGTTGGTGATCAAATCATTATAAATCTACAATGACAATGAATTATTGACAGTGGAGATTAAAATATTAATAAAATTTACGAATGTTAGTAATCAAAATGTTAATAAATTTCATATTTCATAACATCAAGATTCTAATTACAAAAAAAGAAAAAAATTCTATTATCATTTTCAAAAAAAAAAAAATTATGTTACCCATATTTCTTTTAATATTTTATTAAATGAAATTAAAACTATGAATTTTTGTTGTAATTAGAACCTTGATATTGATATTATGAAATATGAAATATTTGAATTTATTTATATGAATTACATAACAAAGATTTGAAGTAATATAATTTAGTAATTTTGACCATTGGATAATATTCATATATTTTTCAAATATAAATGGTAAAATTATAATAACATCAAAAATTATAATTAAATTCCATGCAATAAAAATATAAATATTTATTTATATTTTTTATAAAATCTGAGGACTTATTTGTTACTGACTAAATTATAAATTTTTAAATTTTAGTAACCAAAATAAAATTCTTAAAAAGCTAAGTGATTGAAGTGAAATTGGTCTTTATTTTTTAATTTTCAGTTTTTTTTTTCAAAATTTATGATGTCATCAAAGCAATGCCATATGGCATGTCAAGTAATGTGACAATGTCGCATGGCATTTAATAACCGACGTGGCATGGTAAAGTCAACACATCGTTAAAAAATAATGATAGTGTGATAAAATAATACTTACTAAAAATTTAGTGATTAAATTAAAATTTTAAATAGTTTAGTGATTATTTTAAAAGTACGATTATAGTGGAGTAATTAAAGATATATTTTACCTTTTTTTTAAGATTTAATTGCATTTTTTATATCCGAATTTTGAAATATATATATAAATTGATACTTAAAAAAATAAAATATATAATTTGCATCTTAAATTTTTAAATTATGTATTATGTTAACCTAAACTCTCATATTGTTAATTATATTAGCTTATATATGTGATGTTTGATAAATATTATTATTATGTATTCATCACACATATTATCAATATCCTTTTTAATATAAATTTAAAACATATATTTTTACATGAACCATAAAAAAAATTCTCTAGAACCGATTAATTATTGTTTGTTACTTGGCATCCACATGGTATTCACATGAAATTTTATAAAATATTTAATAATTCTATTTAACAAATGACATTAATATGCTGATTAGATACTATAGAAGTGAATTAAGTAAATATTATTAAATTTTAAATTAAAATGATATATGATTTAAAAATTTAGAATGCAAATTATATATTTTATTTCTTTAAATATAGATTTAGATATTTTCTTAAAATTTGGATACTAAAAATATAATTAATTCTTTTTTAACCCATTTTATAGATGGGCAGATGAAAAGGTGAGAGGTCCCTTAATCATTGCTTCTTTTTCTAAAGCCAATTCGTTAGGAACTGTTCTGTCTTAAACCAAGATAGAACAAAGACACAAAGACACAAAGGCATGGTCCCCCTTGGACCCAATTGCTCAATCTAATTACTTTTTATATTTTAAATGAAGCAAAACAACAAAAGGAAGCCTCAATCATAGTTGAAGAGAGCAAAAGATAGCCACATCTAATAACTTGTTGATTGAAAAAGAACAAAATCAAAAGATGGAAAAGAAGTAAGCATTGATAGCAATGAAAGAGAAAAACAACGTTTGCCTGCTAATTCCATAACAATGAAGATGTGCAAGAAATATGAGAATGACCGTCCATTTGATCAATTGTTTCACTTATGTTCACTCTCAAAAAAAAAAAAAAAAAAATTACTGCCGAACAAGGTTTCAATCTAAATTCACTACTGATTTTAAGAAGTTTCATAAATAAGTTCGAGAAAATATTGTCAAAAAAATTGAGAAGTACAAGTTGTAAGCTAACAAATGTAAAAAGTTAGCTGTATTCAAGGTGAGGGTGTTGACTTGTCTCACAGAAAAATAAGATTATCGAAAAAAAGGCATTTTAAGCTCTTATTACGAGCTAATGGATCTTTTATTGTATTAGTACATAATAGGAGAAAATACATAAAAAGTTGAGGTATAAGGAGATCATGAGTTTTAGCTATTTTCAATGTCTTACTTATCTCCATACTACAAAGAAAAGATATTAAGCCCATTGATTTTACCAAAACAAAAGCCTCAAACTAATGAGAGAGTAATCAATCCACACTTGTGATACCCCATAATAGTTGCTAAAATTAAGGTTCTAAAATAATAGTGATTCCAACTCATAAAACAAAGGCAAAATTAACCTAAATTCAGTATTTGATAAGATCCATTTTGGAAAAACCAAAACTTTACATTGAGAAGAATATTTGTCCAAAGTTTTAACCAACACTTTTGACCATTAGATGCCATAATAGCTACCGAAATTAAGATCCCCCAATAATATTGGTTCTAGTATCCGATGAGAACCTTAGGAGCTTTTAGCATTTGTGTTTATAATAAATACTAGCAATATAATTGCTTTTGTTCTTTAATAATTCCTAGCAACATAAATGTGTTTATTTTTTTACTTGGCTTTTCCTGTCATTGGAAAGATGTTTCGAGCTTAACTATAATTACCTACTCATGTAATGTAAATGAGCATACTGCATTTGGAGTGAAACAGAACTTGTGTTTTCTTGTTTTTTTAAAAGATCTATATTCTCTTCGATAGATTTTCTTGAGATGGTGAGCTTGCTGAACTCTTTATTTTTAGGATGGTAAATTCTGTATCTTTAGTGTTAAAGTTATCTTTTCTTGTCTCTTGCGATAAAACTTATATTCTCAATGCAGTGAGATTTTCTATTTATTTATGAGTGTGATTAAGAGATTCATTTCACTTCTCTATCTTAATCCGGTATCTAAATCAGATACCCCATGTACTTTGATAACATCTAATTCTCTTTTCTTTACTAAATTTTCTTCTTTTAATTTACAGATATGCTAATCACACGCTAATTCATTGGCAGCTGAAACCCAACTGTACTTGAAAGTTTTAGTCTTAGGAACTAAGAAGTAACAAGGGACTGAAATTTTCATCTTTTCTTCTTTTTAACCTTACCTTTACAGAAGAGTGAACCAAACCCAAAAAAACTCACAGTTGCATTGGAAATTAATGGATGTGGAAGATTCAAAACAGGGCTGACGCCAACTCCATTTCCATATGCTGCACAATTCTTCTTTAATGGAGGCTTTTGTGTAGAATTGCTATAAGTGTAAAATGCAGTACCAGAAGAACTTGACACTGATGATTTTCTTGACAAAGATGGCTGCTTGCGCAAATGCTGATTCTGGGTTTCTTTTGAAAGCATTGTTGGTTTTGGATTTGGAGCTGAACCTGTTGAATTGCTGCGTGAAAGAAACTGAAGTGAGCGGATTAGGCTTTTTCTTCGAGTACTTTCACAATTGAGGCTACTGCTTCTCTTGAACTGCCAGAAATATTTGGATGCAGGCTTGTCATCTGCATCAATACTCATGGATAAAAATTCTTTCAATCTTTTCTTCCCTGTGTTGTCAGTTGTTGTCTGCTGGGGAGGAGAAGGAACAAGCTGAGATTGACCATGAACTTGTTTTGCAGCAACAGGTTTTTTCTTGATTTCAATTGGTAGAATCTTGCCATTTAAAAAGAGCTCATCAGCTGAGGGCAATTCTTGGACAAACTATTGCCAAAGCAGAAATCGAAATCCGAACTGGTATCCAAGAGTGATGTGTCCAATCTCTGATGATGGTGTACTTCAATGGAGTCTACATCATCTTTTTGGCTGAGATCGTGAGAAAACGAGATTCTTGGGCTGATTCCTGCGCTTGAAATCTCTGAGAAAACTTCAATTGCCATAGTCAATATTACTGTTACCTGAACCTTAGAATCATGTTTTAGCTCAACTTTCCCTTCCCACAGAGCGGGCGGAAGTTTCAAAAACCTCAGTTAACACAAGACTATGTTATTAAATGTAGCAGTAGATAAGGATTTTGGTCTCAAAGTAAAAGAGAGAGAGAGAGAGAGAGAGAGAGAGAGAGAGAGAGAATAGGAGATATAAAGTCAGCAATCGCAGGCTTTTAGCTTTTTCTTTTCTGTCTATGCAGCAAAGAGCATCTACCAACATTGGGTCATCAATTATGCAGATTAAGGCAGAGAAACAATTGATTCCATTGTTCTAAGTTCAACAGAAAGAAAAGAAAAGAAAAGAAAAGAATAGAATAAAAGGAATGAAAGATGCTGAATGTAAGCACCGAAAGGCAAGAAAAGGATCTCCTCTAGGTGGGTTTCCAATGAAACTTTTACTTTAGCAATTAATGGAACCTCGACGATTGAGAGACACCTTCATCTTAAAATTGTTTGGATTTCACTGTCTAATCCAAACTTTATTACAATGCCAGAATAAATTAAGATAAGAATTTGGCGGTCACCGTCTAATCATTTAGTGAAAAACCTTAAATATAATTAACCTTTAGCTTGAATGATCGGATCTGATCTAAACCAAGAATGTTCCGGGAATTTCATTTTTTTTTTTTTCACTAATTCGGAGAACAGTTTCAAGGATTTTCAATAAAATATTAAAAGAGTTTTCAAGTTGTCTAATCGGTGGAGACACAAGGTTGATAATTGATATGGCTAACATTTAATTATATGGCTCGCGAGGTCGGGTCTATGTCACCATAGAAATTAAAACAATGGGAGCCAAGATTATATCCTTGCATATAGGGTATTATTGTTGAAATGCCTCAAATTTGAAGAAAATTTCTTTAACAAAGACATAAGGACATGATTGTCTAAAGCTAGGGCAATAGACAAGAGGATGGAGTTATCTATGGAATAACACATGGATGTGCCTCCCAAACATGATTCGAAATCAACAATTGGAATCTTCATGCAAATGCAAAACTCATGTCCGACACCGACATAGTTTTTATTTGTCTAATCTTGGTTATCCTTGCCCATTGCACATTTGCGTCTTTATGCGTCGAATTCAAATGTGCATGTAATTGTATATAAACAATTAAAATCAAATAACTGAATTTTGCATAACTATCGATTGATCCACTCAACAATCAATTGTACGTATGCATCTAGGTTAAAAGGAAAACTTTTTTATTTGAGTAACATAATCATTTCACTAATTGGTAGGCTCGCGTTCTGTTACGAGCTTGTTTAAATTATGAATATAAATTATTTTTTATATGAAAAAAAATTATTAAAATGATAAGAGTTAAATTTAAAGTTTACAAAATAATAAATTTTAATACAAAATCAACCAGTAAATTTCCTTTCAAGAAATTGCAATGGTTAATTAGAAATTTGAAAAAAAAACAGGGGCAACACTTGTGAATTTCAAAACCCAACATTGTTTTTTTTTCTCTAATTGCCGTATAAGGATTCATAATCTAAATTAGCTCTAGCTTGCAAACCACAAATTTACTTAACTAAGCACGAGAGAAAAACACAAAAGAAAATAAGAGACCATAGCCATATAAAACAAATAAAATAGGCACACTGAAAACCAACAAAAGCCCCATCTCATTCACATTGTTAATAAAAAGTTAATTTCTGCTTAAAGATTCCCTCATCAATGGAGTTTTAACGTATCCATATATAGAAAAGAAAAGCTATGACAAGGAGAAGGTGAACATGAGAGATTTATTGAATATGGAACAGTAATTACAAAATAAGCAATAACCCTAAACAACTCCAATGTTCATTACCGTATCTTACAGTTTCTTTTAAAATTCTATGCCTATAAACGGTAGCTATAAATGAACAAACCCCTGAAAAGGAAAGTTGTAACATATGATCATAAACGTCATAATAATTTATTTTCATCAACGGGTGATAGTAAGTTATAACTGAAAATACCAAAAATCCAAATGCAAAAGCAGTGAAAGATTCCAAACTCAAACTTTCAACACCAATTAATTGCTGGTTACTAAGAGGAAAAGAAAGAGAGATAAAGCTAATGCAACTTGAAATGCCTATAGGCTAAAATTACATCATCAATGAAAAACTATTTAATCCACATGTCAATTGAAGAAAAATGTAAATATGCACTTATGTAGGTTTGACTGACATGAATATAAGAACATAAAAATTTCAGCTTTCACAATGTGAAAATCTCTCATAATGCATGATAGAAATGCAAAGAATCTTTACACTAAGTTAGCAATGTCAATGTTACATACTCAAGCTATTGCAATGATAACTAAATGGATTGCATTCTATAAAGTAAATAGTTCAGCAGGAAGTTACTTGAAAAATCTTTATATAAGATGACACTTTAAACAGCTTCACTTTCTTCATAAAATGATACTAAAAGATAGCTATTGAGCATGAAGATATATACCCTGTGGTCATACTCCTTGGCAAAATACTTTCTATTCACATCACTTTTTGGAATGGCATCACTAGAATTTATACTAAGAGCAGTATTTAGAACTTGAACTAGCAATTCATATTTAAGATCTAGAAGGCAGAATTGACAAACATTTTTCAACTTAGTACATGTTTGATGAACCTTAGTTTTCTTACACCTTGAATCACGACCAGGCCTCATCCTAAAAACTATCAATATCCTACTTGCCTTTACAAGTAATCCATATTGAAGGATATTTATGCACATTCCAAAAAAGTACATCTCTGAATTGTAAATGATTAAATCAATAAAGATAGTTAAAAGGATGATGATAAGTAATCAATATAATTGGGTTAAACAAATATTACTTTGTTAGTTCTATAGCTTTATCAATAGCATAGTTATATTCATCTGTATAAACCCATCATAAGCCAACCAATATGAATTTAATTAAAAAAACTACAGTAGATAAACTAACATTAATGAACCAATTTGGAGCAAAATTAGAGTAGATCAATAGCAAGATTTGATTGCATCTGGTTGACCAACCTAAGTCTTAAGTTTATAGAGGATGGGAACTAAAGCTTTTGTTTTTCCTTTTAAAACATTAGTAGAACATAAATTCAACTTAAAACAACTATAACTAAACACATGTTAAAACTTTCATCATTTCCAATCATTCAACATTAAGGGAAGTTATTGACTTGACTTTTCTAGTGTACATGCTATAATGAAGCATTTAAACAAACAAAGATAGAACCACTTACACATGTTTATAGTTAAAAGTTGAAAAAATGGACCAATTATGACAAATCATTGGATTATAACAATTGTAGGAGAGAAGTTTCCATCATACCAAATGTGTAAGCGATGAGCTTACGATTGTGACAAGAACGGGTAATCCTAGTACCACAAGACCTTCTCAAGCCATTCAGGAGCATTTCTTGCCTTTTTTACTATTTTAGTGCCCTTTCTTTCTTCTATATAAGACAATAAAGTTAGAGAGGTTACCAAGGGATGTAACAAATAAAACAAAAGCATATGAACAGTCTGTTACAATAAGATTTTACCAAAAGATAAAAAAAGGACTTGTTAACCTTACCTTTTGAAATTTCTATGCAATAGGAATGACATCATTATTTATAGTCTTGCCAATAGCAACTTCAGCTGCAATCTTGCTAGCCAAGAGTTTATCCTACCATTATAGTAAGAAAACAAATTGACTTAACATTTCTCATTGAGACAATAAACAAATATTGTGAAATGTGAACTTACCACAACTCCTCCATAGAATTCCATGAAATCCACTATAAGTGTTCCCAGTGATAACAGACAATTGGTAATGCTAAACATGTTTTACTCTTTGTCTTTTGTTTAAGGCTCAATCCTATTTAATTCCCTATTAAATCTATAACCAAAGACCATATTTCCATCATACCTATAATGAAAAACACATAATTTGTCAGCACCAATCACACAATAGATTTTACAAAATCTAGAACAATGTAAACACTTACCAGTATGAAACATTTCCATTCCCTTTTATCTTCTTTTTTCGAAACCAAGAAATTCCCTTATTACTTTTCAAAGTATCATCAATATATGACATTACATCAACCTGCTATAGAATAATAGAATCCATTAAATAGAAGTTAAAATGGAATAGAATTACCACAACCAACATAACATTCATCTTAAAACTTTCTTTATTAAAACAAAATTGGACATTAATTAGGGGATGATACAAACAAACCATTCTAAATACTATATGGTTAGTATAAAATCAATAGTTTCTGTTAAAACAATAATAGCAACTACAATACAAAAAATCAAAGTTTAAAATAATGCATAAAAACATTGAATGTTGCAGCATCAGATCCATGTGAATTCCCATAACTACTCGATAACCTCCATCATTGAATATATACACCTAAAACAGGCTTTGTTTGGTTAAAGAGAAAACACAAGAAAAGAAACAAAAAATGAAAACAAAGCTTTGATTAACTGTAAACAAATTGTAGATTAGGTTAAAAACATATAGATTCATTTCATTTCATATATTTTATTCTATTTTCCTATCATTTCTCGACAAGCAAATGAAATTTAAAATCTAAAAAAGAAAATAAAAAGAAACTTAGCCAACAGATTTCTCAATATGCTTTAAAGCCTCAGGTTACAAATCCCCGAAAAACATCAACTTTATCTTATCCAACTCTTCAAATTCCTCTTTTCCTTAACCACTTCTTTTGTCATCGCCTAACATCTTTCTCTGTCTCATTCGCCAACTTCTTTGCTAACACCACTCTTTCTAGATTCTTCATTAACAAAACCCTATAGTTCGTGTTCCATAACGTATACCTAAAGAAAAAAATAATATTTTTTATTATGAAAATAATAAATTATAAAAAAATTTACTTTTTTGAGGTTGAAATAGAAAAATTTTACCCTATGGTGATAGAAGAGAAAATGAGGTGATGTAGAGAAGGTTTCAAAAGGGAGACTAAAACAAAAAAACTAATAAGATGGGAAAATCCCTAGCATAGTTGAGACAGTTTGTTTCATCGATTCCTTGGCAGAATCAGAAACCCCTTAGAA